AGCCTGTGTCTGTGCTTGGGATTGCCCCGACACAGGGGCAGGACCTTACATTTGGCCTTGTTGAACTTCATGAGGTTCACACAGGCCCATCGGTCCCTCTGGATGGCCTCCCTTCCCTCCAGTGTGTCAGCCACACCACACAGCTTGGTGTCATCGGCAAACTTGCTGAGGGTGCACTGGATCCCACTGTCCCTGTCACTGACAAAGATGTTAAACAGCACTGACCCCTGAGGAATACCACTCATCGATGTGGCCACGTAGATGACATCACTTGCTCTTCCTCTATCCACCATCCCTATAATGCCGTCATAGAAGGCCACCAAATTTGTCAGGCAGGATTTGTCTTTAGTGAAGCCATGTTGGCTGTCAAAAATCACCTCTTTGTTTTCAATGTGCCCTAGCATAGTTTCCAGGAGGATCCACTCCATGATCTTGCTGGGCACAGAGGTAAGACTGGCCTGAAGACTAAAACCTGTGTGGATGATGAACTTTCAATAACTGTCCTGCTTTAAAATTTCCCAATTGTAGCACTCTGCTATTTTGTGAAGATAAATCAAATGCAGTTGTTTTGTAGCAGCTTACAATGTTAGCAATTTGCTACTTTTAGCTGATTTTTTTTTTTTTTTTTTTTTTTTTTTTATAATGCAATCTGTAGATACGCAATCAGGGAGAGCAACAGCATTGTAAAGATATTTAAAAACTTCAAAGAGAAGAAGTCATTCAAACCTGATTTTGGAGCAGAAGGTTAGTATTTACTTTTAAAATAGGTTATGTTTGTGCATTTTTTGCACAATGTGGATTTCTTCCACCTTTATTTTCTTGCAGGCATCTACGGCGGCTTCCTGTTGGGTGTCAGATCTGTTAATGGTTTGGCATTCTATGACTGGGAAAACACAGAACTGATTCGCAGAATTGAAATTCAGCCCAAACATGTAAGTTTCTAGGTGAGACTGAAGATACTGACCTGTCTGTGTTCACTGATTTTATTTTTTTTTTTTACTGGACTGCTGATTTTCTTGAATGAGGCAGAGCTCTTAATCATAAAGTAGTAACTTTTTAAGTTTATCTCAGTCATGTGGCAGAAGGGGAAAAAACAACCCTGTATGTGTTGGTGTCTCAGGCCCTAAAGCTTTTGTTAGTTAGTATGTTTTAACCATAATTTATACACCCTCCTTTCTTGACCTGGGGTCTCTGAAACAGTGCTGTTACTGATTCTGATGGTACAGATTTTCTGGTCTGACTCGGGTGAGCTTGTCTGCATCGCTACGGAAGAGTCATTCTTCATTCTGAAATACCTATCGGAAAAAGTTGCAGCAGCCCAAGAAACACATGAAGGTGTCACTGAAGATGGAATTGAAGATGCTTTTGAGGTACCTTCCATTTAAAAAAATAGAACAGGATTAGAGATCATGGAAGCAAGTCTTCCCAGGGTATAGCAAATTTAGTCCTTAACATAGTCCCATTAAATTTTAGTTTCCAGAACACTGAATACCACACAGTGTACATCTGCCTGAGGAACACTGTTAATCATTTCATTTGGGTTCCCTGGGGAGAGTATCCCTGTTTGAATCCCAGCATGACAGACTGTGATGCCTACATTTCCCTTCAGACATCTGTTAGTACTCTCATGGAGTTATAGAGGTTACTTTTAAACACACTTGGGTAGTATGTTTACATAGCTTAAACTTTTTTTGCAGTTTTCAAGTTTTGAAATGGTGAAGTTTGAGAAGTGATGAAAAAAACCTCATGCTGTGAAATGTCAGAAACAAAAATTTCATAAGGAAAGTTTGGTGCTTGTTTCCTAGATTTATAATTTATTTAGTTAAGAATTAAGGTAGGAGATTTCATATGCTACAGCATTTTTGTAAAACTAAAGCATTATTTAGGTACTTCCAATCTGTATCTAAACTTATTTTTGCAACTTGCCCAACTATTTAATTAAGTATAGAATATTAAATCGGATTTGAAAATGCAGTACTCTTAGTGATATCTAAAAGGACCTTTTTATCTATCTGTTTAACTAAGTCAAATTTAATTTGCAGGTTCTTGGTGAGATTCAGGAGGTTGTGAAAACAGGCTTGTGGGTAGGCGACTGCTTCATTTACACCAGTTCCGTGAACAGACTCAACTACTATGTTGGAGGAGAAATTGTCACTATTGCCCATTTAGACAGGTAAGTTGCTGCATCGGGTTATAAGCAAGTGTTAAAGGTTCTTTCAGTGAAGTTGGGACAAGGTGAACCTTGTCACCTGCTTGCCATGCACTACTACTTTTTCTTACGTATCATGCTAATGCGTGTTCTGAGGCAGTAGTGTAATCTTGGAGAGAATAGTGTTGTGTGAAAGTGTACGTACAGTAAAAGTAGAATTTTTCGTGTGAGTATTCTTGCTACCGTAAGAACTATTTGAATTGTTTTTAATAGACTATATAGTAGTGGATCTATTCAAGATGAATATTCTTTGTTTTGTTTCAGAACAATGTATCTTTTGGGGTATATCCCTAAGGACAACCGACTTTATTTGGGTGATAAAGAGCTAAACATAGTTAGCTACTCTTTGCTGGTCTCAGTCCTTGAATATCAAACTGCTGTGATGAGAAGAGATTTCAGTATGGCTGACAAAGTTCTTCCCACAATTCCAAAAGAACAGAGAACCAGAGTTGCACATTTTCTTGAAAAACAGGCAAGAAAACTACTTCTCTAGTTATGAAAAACTCAATAAATCAGTTTATTCATATTTCTAATTGAGTTTGCTAAGCAAAACCCAGTCATGTTCTCTGTAGGCATAAACTTTTGTTAATCATCAGTAATTATTTGAGAATACTGTAAAGTTCTGTTTAGAGGGGTTTTGTTAGAACATCTAACGTGCTGTTTGACCTGATGGATCCCAGACTTACTTTCAGATTTTTATTTCAGGGTTTCAAACAACAAGCTCTTGCAGTATCTACAGATCCGGAGCATCGTTTTGAACTTGCTCTTCAACTTGGAGAATTAAAAATAGCATATCAGCTTGCAGTAGAAGCAGAGGTAAACAGTAATTTTTGGTGATTCATACTAATTCTGAGTGTTAGTGTGAATCTAAGAGGCCCTGTAGGAACAGACAATGGTATATGGGGATGCAGTACAGCTCCCTGAACGCTATATGAATGCCTCCAGCTTCCTTGATGAAGTCATTCTGCCTGTAATTCAAAGGAGTCTAAGCTGTGGGATGGGTACAGAAGAATGTTGTCTGCTTGTAACGCTACAGGAACTCCTGGAGAATATAAAACTTGAACCAAGAACCAAGCCTGTATCTCCAATATTTAACAGGAGGAGGAGGAATGACAGGACTGAAGCCTCTAGGCCTTTGTTCCAGCCTTAGCAAACTTAGGTTGATGCACTAGGAAGACTGACAGGCAGTGATTTGTCCCATAGCCATTATTCAGAGAATTGATCTCACCGTTCCTGTTGTGAAATAACAAAGTTGGTGATAAGGAATGTTAACTTAGTTACAGACACAAATGTCCTTACATTGTGAAGGTTAACTTGGGAGCTTTAAGAGATTGTTACTGTTTAAATTTCCAAAGTTTATTTCTACCTCCTTCCTCCATGTTTAATGGAAAACTTTATTGTATGTAATGGTGTAGCTGTGTAATGATCTGCGTATGACACTCACAGTGTCATGCTGTGAAGCTGCAATAACCATAGCATCTCAGAGGGAAGGCAGGTGTAATGATGGGGTACAGTGCCTCCACGAGTGAACTTACTTTTTCACGTTGAATGCTCTGAAAATCTTTAAATGCTGCTCAAAAATGTGAGTTGTTTTTTCGGTTTTTGTTTTTTCTTTCCCTCCCTCTCCCCTTTTTGTACCATTAGTCAGAACAGAAATGGAAGCAGCTTGCTGAGCTTGCCATTAGTAAATGCCAGTTTGGCTTAGCCCAGGAGTGTCTCCACCATGCACAAGACTACGGAGGACTACTGCTCCTGGCTACAGCTTCAGGAAATGCTAACATGGTCAATAAGTTAGCTGAAGGAGCAGAAAAAGATGGCAAGAACAATGTTGCATTTATGAGCTACTTCTTGCAAGGAAAGTAAGTAGCAAGCAAGAGAGAAAGATTGTTCTGTTCTGCTTTCCCAAGTGCAAAGAACCTCAGGTTCTCTAGATGGTTAACTACAGCTAACTTAAAACTTCATGGGGAAAGATTGTGGCAGGTATCTTATCAGAAAGCTGATTCTGTTTTATGATGACTGCTACTTTTAAACTCTGAAATGAAAGCACTTTAATGTGACAAAATAAACAGCTAATCTAATACAAAAATTTGTCTTTATTAAATTTGCTGGTTAAAATCACGTTTTAAAATTTTTTAGGCTTGATTCATGTTTGGAACTCCTGATTAAAACCGGGCGTCTTCCAGAAGCTGCTTTTCTTGCACGGACATACTTGCCAAGCCAAGTTTCAAGGTAATTTCAAAGCATATGCAGAGCATGAATGGTGTTAATAAATTAGCTGTATGTAACAAATATGGTTTGCATCTCTAGGGTTGTTAAACTGTGGCGGGAGAGTCTCTCAAAAGTCAATCAAAAAGCTGCTGAGTCCCTTGCTGATCCTACAGAGTACGAAAATCTTTTCCCTGGATTAAAGGAAGCTTTTGTTGCTGAAGAGTATGTTAAACAAAGTCTGGCTGACTTGCGGCCAGCCAGGGAATACCCCCTTGTCACTGTAAGTAGGAAGTGGGAGTTCTCGTTGGCTCTAGAGAAAAACATTTGTGCTGTGTAAAATCAGCTTTAAGCAAGTCAGTGCTTAAAGATTCAGTGAACATATGTTTGGGCGGGGACTGGATTTTTTTTTTATTGGTTTTGGGTTTTTGGTTTTGGTTTTTTACTTTTAGCCAAACGAAGAAAGAAACTTACTTGAAGAAGTGAAAGGATTTGAGCCTTCTGGAGTAATGGCATCTCAGGTCAGTGTTACTACTAAATGATGAATTCTAAGAGGCAAACTTGCTATTGTACGGTAACATCTACCCTGGAAAGTGTTTCACCGGTAATGGACAAATTATGGCTCTTATCGGCTTGACTGTAAGCACTGCAGCCAAGTTCATGTTCTTTTGCCTCAGACTCTTCTTAATCTACTTCTGTAACTATTAATGACTTCTTGACTGTGAAGTTATTTCGTTTGTGCGGTTACTTATCTTGGTTCATCTTTTAGTGTGAGTAATTGTAGAGTCTTACCATTGAATTCATCCTGCAGAAAACTAATTTCAGTTGCACATACAAACGCTTTGCTAGTGTGTGGGTTATGGAATGGCCTTATCCCATAACTAACTGACTAGGAATCCTGCTTAATTACTGGAAAATATGTTCTAATCAATATCTGAAGTAACTCAAACTGGTTTCTTTTTCACCACCTCAGTTGTCAAAGTATTATGCAGAAAACACGTGACTTAAATACAACGTATAAGCATATAGGTTGAAACGAACACTTAAAATGCTTTTTCAGAGCTTAAACAGATGATGACAACTTCTAATTCTTGCTTATGTCAAATACAATTTACATTTGAACACGAAAAACAAAATGTGAGAGTTTCTTAAAGACACTGATGTTGGCGCAGCTCTAAGGCTATAAACTTCTAAAAGAACAGCAGTGGAAATCAAGGGAGAAGCAGAAAGTCACAACTCCCCATTCTGCCTCTGTATTTTTCCCTCGTAGGAGATATACTCCAAAACTTCACTGACAGTTCAGAGAAGTTTGCTTACTTTCAAGTAGCTTTAGTGACTCTTTGCTGCTTGTGTATCAATGCAGGTATCATTAAAGCGAAATCAAACTGTATGCGCATTTGTTAAAGATACAGAAATAGCATTGCAAAAGTTACCTAAAACAAAGTAGAACTCATTTGCATTAGAAGCTGAAAACAAGACCACTAATGTTAGAAGCCCAACTTTGCATTCAATTAATGGTTGCATGGAAGTCTTTAAACAACAATTGTCTCTTACAGCTGAGGCTGAATGTGGGAAGTTGTGTAGGAGATAATTATACAATCAAACTAAATACAGTTAATTGAATAGTACCATTGCTTCAGTAACAGTACTAACTGATGAGTTGTCTTAATATAAACTTGTGCAGCAGTGAAGAGAGAAGGATAAGCGTTAAACCATTATAGGGTATGGAACACAAAGCCCAGCAACAGTACTAAGATTTACCACCTTTGCTAAAACTGCTATGACAGTCTCAAGTAATCT